CACACACTCTCTCTCTCTCTCTCTCTCTCTCTCTCTCTCTCTCTCTCTCTCTCTCTCTCCTGCTAAATTAACAAGACCTCTATCACTATCTTTATAATGGGAAAAACTACAAATTCAGATTTGAATCATCCGAACCAGACTGGATTCAATAGCAAACTGCTTTGGATTTTTTACAAAATTGGGAATCAGCCCGAAAGGTTATATCAGAGAACCAGGCGATCTTTTTTTTCTTTTTCCTTTTTCTTTTTTTCCAAGTTTTTTTTTATTGCCTTATGAGGCCCACGTCACAAAAATCTATGTTTTTTGGCCTCTCTCCGATCTATACGACAATTTTTCAATCAAAACTAAGAAATATATGTTTATACTCATCAATTTAAACTCTGAGCTCGACAGTACCTATCAACTTGTGGTTTTTATGAGGAAATTTCAATGTTTGTATTTTAATTTGGATTTTTTTAATTTATCATTTTTTTAAAAGTTCTTAGTGTTTTCATGCTTATCCATGGTTTTTGTTGAATTCATTATTATTTATAAGAAATTATTTTTTCATGATATATTTACTCGACATTCAATGCTTTTTAAATTTTGTCTCTCATATTTTCTTGTGTTATTTTTTGTCTAAATTATTCAATAATTTTTACTTATTTTTTTGTGATTTTCGGTAAATATTGCTGAATTTGCATGCTTAAAAAGGCTCTGTAGTTGAATTGCTATAGTTTTTTGTTATATTTCTGTCCAAGATTTTTTTTTTTTTGATAATTACTGTATGTCCAAGTTCACCATGCTGCATCATAAAGAAAATCATGCATGGCATGGCAGTATGTATGTAATTATTGCAAAAAGACAATCAATGACAGAATAAATTGGTTTAAACCACACTTGACAAGGGCAACGGGAACTGGAGTCGTGGTGGTAGCACCCCCGCATCCTTGTAACAAATTGTGGTTTTCATTCTCACCACCAACACCACCCTACTAACACCTTTAAAAAAAAACTAACTTCTAATTTACTTAAAAAAGCCACTAACACTTTCAAAAAAGCTAACTCCCAATTTACTTTAAAAAGCTAACTCCTGATTTACTTTAAAAAACAAGTAAGGGCTGTCTTCCCTTAAAAAAAATAAATAAATAAAACCTGACAATGGCTTTAGGGTGTGATTACACCATGCGAGCATAAACCTCCAACACAAGGTAGCAAATGTTGACTATCATTTCAGCCGACAAGGTAAAACAGTGCTAGAGGATTAGAGAAGGTGATTGTCCGCCTGGGCAGGGATTGTCAGCCTATACAGCTAGTGAGAGTACATGATCAGCAAATATGTAAGTGAAAGGCTCGAAAAACAGAATAGACTAGACCCAAAAAGATATTGTTATAAGTTGTGAAACAAGATATAAGCACTTTTAACCTCGTAAAAGCATGACCCTTAATAAAGCAGAAAGCACCCACATAAAATGGAAGTTGGTAGCATACAAATAGTATGTATGCAATTTCAATTGTCCTTGCCCGATGGTTTGAGATGTATCATACTACCGCTCAAGTTGCAGAAACATCTCATCCATCCATCAGTGGGTACACACAGTTATGGTTTGAGATGTACCATACTACCGCTCGAGCTGCAGAAACATCTCATCCATCCATCAGTGGGTACACACGGTTGTGAGTGTATGCAATACATTTATTATAATATGAAAAAGTATACAATGAGGCTATTTACCTATTGTACAAAGTGGTCACAATTAATCTTGACCATTGGAAGTGAAATTGAGTGGCTGCATTTATTCCATTGATCAAGCTCAAAGTCCAAAGGAAATTTTCTTGAACAATATGACGTACTTCAGCTATCAAATTTCAAAATTTCAAATCAGACGGTTATAAGTAATTGTGACCTCTTGTACATCGTACAGGATCCCTTATAAAATATTTCATCTGTGTCGCAAATTTCCCAGACATACCTTGCAGAGCAAAAGATAACAAGACAAAAAACAAAACAAAAAACAAAAACATGGGGTAAGCAGACAATTGGATAGAAGATGATGGGATTGTGACTTTAATTTACGAAGATACAATGGCCACAGCAGAGTTGCCTCCAATGGGAAGTGCTTTGCTTGCCCATGAATGGAGGGTTATAATCACTAAATTTCCAATGGACTCAATTTACAGGGGAAGTGAGATGCCCTTTCCAAGCAAGATAAGCCATCTCTATGTACAATCAACTTTCATCAGGTATTCGAGCTGAGCTCGCCATCAATTACTGATGTCGAAGTACTTTGGGTCTGCTGGAAAATGGTGTTCCACATGTAACTGCCACAAAGGCCAACAATATCTCAGAAAACCCAACCAGGAAAATTGCAAAATGAGCACCATGTCCGATTTCACATTATAATGGTAAAAGAGAGAACAAGGGGGACAGATTTGCATAATTATCAACATGATGTGAAAGATGTTCAAGAATGAGCTCAATTAGTTCACTCAACACGTAGCTTCTCTAGAAAACAATAAATGAATTCTAAAGTCAACCAGATATAGAACCAAACACTTTTCCATCGTTAATGCCACCAGTGTCATAAGTTTCTATTGCAGATGTTGCTAGCAAGTAGTCAGATCACAATACCTTATGCAAAGGGTGTATTTCTTAACTGGATAAGACCATCCCATACGTTGTTACTCTTCATTCTAAATCCATTATATAGCTTGCAGACTACTATATCTCGTATGACAACAAATTATCAATTCATCGTTATACTCACGTTCTCCAAAAAAAAAAAATCATCGTTATATTTATTCATTTAGTACAACAGGAGACTTTAAACAGGATATGGATTGAACCCCTCATCAAAGAATTCATCAACAATATATTGCAAATCTTACATTCTCCTTAGTGGCACCATATTATTCTCTACTTGAGCACATAAACTATGATCCCTCTGGACCATAGTTACTTCTACTCACTTGGTCAGAAGACCTAATGGGGAGAATTTTTTCAATCTGCAATTTTGGGAAACACTTAAGAATTAATAGATGATTATTCTCAAAAAAAAATAAAATTTGAGTTTTCTAACCCTTATATCTCACCATCTAAAAATTGGATGGTCTCTATTCAATCTCAAGAGATTATTTTTTTAAGTGTATAGAGGGTACAATTAAGAAAAAAAAATATATTGAGGTTAACCTATGGATTGAAGAGGTTATATCCCCAAAATTTGGGGCCCTAAAATTAATTCTAGGTGGGGTTTTACATAAGGGAGTAAATGGGAATTGTACTCCCGAGGGAGCAGAATATCTTTTGGCTTTCTTCTTAGTGGCACTAAGGAAATGGTAGTTCCGTTTTCAGTACTTGAGAAAACCTAGTAATCTATAGAATAAAGAAATTATAGAAGTCTCTAAACTAGATCACGAGAAATGATCACGATATGTAGTCTGAACATCAATGGGGAATATCTGAATAGCGGTAGTGCATAGGGCAGCCTTCTGAAATGTGGAGTAGTGTGCCCTGCTTTCTGCATATCGTCAAATGTATAAGCCAATCTGATCTCCACATCAAAATGTCTAGAAAACGTTATCCAAAACTTGGCTGGTTACATAGGAGAGGAAAATCTCTAGATCATATACTCGGTACTCTGATTAAAGTTTCACGGCCCAATATTCATGTGGATCTATTCTATCACCAGTTAATGAGACACAAAACAGTGGGTGCAAAAGATAAGAGCAAACTAATAACATTCTTTCTGAATAGCCTATCAGAGCTTGCTCAAAACTGAACATTTAATAATGCTGCAAAAATTAGGGGTCAGTCAAGGGTATGGGTCTAAGAGCATGGGCAATTATGATGAAATTATGATACTTTGTCATGTTCATCCAGGTGATGGCATATGCCTTTACTTAAGCAAGGACTGAAGATCAAAAAATACATTTTTTTCATCCCATATTGCAAATGAAAGCAATGGATCAAATGTTGTCAAATTGATGATCAAAGAGCTGTCGACTTTCCTTGTAAGCTTTCTGCTATTTCTAGTGAAAATCTAGATTTGATTGGCTCCTCCATGCTATTCCTGTGAAGTTATTCATTGAGGAACTATGTACAGTTTTCCTAGTACAGTTAATGCCATTCCGGTCAGATTTTTTTCCTAGTACAGTTTTCCTGTCAGGTTCATGGCAGACCTAGTGAACTGATAAAATTTCTGCCCAACGCGTACATGGCCACATGTGCACATTGAATCTTCAAACCCACTGGTACATGATAGAACAAGACAAACATGGAGGAACCAATCAAATCCAGATTTTTTTCCTAGCACAGTTTTTTTTTCTTTTTCTTTTTTTTTATTGGTAACAAACAGCATTCATTCATAAACTGGAATATGGAAAAATAAGAAACATCAAGCTAGCATGCAGAAAGACTATAAAGCTTGGCTAGAGGAAAGGAATCACCAATAAAGAGTGAGTATCAAAGCTCTCTTTTAGCAAGTGTGTGTGGAACTGTATTTGCATGTCAAAAGACACAAGTAATGGTTATAAAGTGGCAGAGGCATAACATGATGTATAACTGTGGAGCTTGAAAGAAAAGGAAAGAGCAGCCCAGCTCGCAATGATATCCAATCCCCTAATGCCCCAAAACTCTTTCTTGGTAGTGTTCCACGAGGCAACCATGTCTCGAACTGAATCCTTGACGCCAAATATACAAGCTTTCCTAATGAATATGCAGAGCTTGCATTCATTGTAGATGCACCAGAGCGCAGCATGAACAACCAATTCCAAGGTGTACACTCGTTAAGAAAACAAGTATGAAAGAAGCTCTCAATGTGAATGCACCTTGGCCTAGTCAACATTGAAAGGCACCAACAGGAAAGACCAAACCTCACCAACAAAGTGACAGTGGAGAAGAAGATGACTAGCAGATTTTGACACCATCCCGAACATCATTCAGACAAACAGAAATCAACAAATCAAGGTGGATGGATCCACCGTTAGAGACTTATCTAAGCATGAGTTACATATCAATTAAAAGAAAGAAAGCCCTACATCCAATATGATTATTTCTTCTGAATAAATTGACTATCAATGGAATCTTTCTTGCTCAACCAATCACACTTTCAATCACTACCATACAATCTTCACCTTTTGGTGAATTATTTTAATCAAATCCTTTCTTCTAAACAAATTGAATATCAATGGAACATTTCTTGCTCAACGTATTACACTTCAATTACTACCAGTCTTCACCTCTCAGTGAATTATTTTAGACAGAACCCCGTGTGCAGTTTTGAGGATTATTTTCAGAAACTCAAATTATGAACAATTTTAATATGCACCAAGCCACAAACTGGTGTAAGAAAGACATTCACTATATATTTTTCTTTTCTAGAAAAGTTATTCAATTAAATAATATATATATATATATAACAGCATACCTTGCCCTCATCAGCATCCGAATGACGCTGAGGAAACACAACCCTCAAATCGTTGTACAAGTAGAACCTCCGTTCAACTTCACTATCCAAACCATTTATAAGGGGCTCAGATGAGAAAGGACTGGGCTTGCATCTCTGCACTGATCTCAAACACTTTTTCATCTTAGGGCAAAGGAAACGAAGATGGAGGGCATATCGAAGAACACCAGACACAGTAGTATTATCATTGACCCTTGAGGAACTATGTACAATTCTCCTGTCAGGTTCATGGCATATGTCCATTTGAGTATCACCCTTTATTGGGGGTTTACTATTTACATTTTCCGCAACCGCAGAGGGACCAAATCCATTTAGCCCCTCCATACCATTGCTCGGTATATGGAGTACTGGGTTTGCATCTCTTTTACTTTCTGCCAGGTCAGTAATGTCAAATTGTGGAGCATCAGCTGAATATAAAGACCCGCTGAAATTAGAGTTTTCATTCCCCACACGTTGACAACTCTGGTGCACATGAACACTGTTCGAATTGCTGATTCCCCTGCCAGGTTCTATAGGGGAACTCACTGGAGCTGAAGAAGCCATTGCAATGTTTTTACCATCCATACTCCGATTCCGTTCTTTAACCATCAACGAGGGTGAACTTGTTGAGGCAATTGTGCCCTTTTGACGCATAAATGTCTGTTTTCATTCAATGCACAAGACAGAGATAAGTAATGACCTTTTCTGGTACTATATAGAATGAGAAAATATATCATACTAGCAGTTTAGAAAATAAGGGTGTAGCATACGCATCCAATATGGTAAGTTCTCAAGACAGACAGTACAAATGAACAGTAGCTCCTGATGCACCTCATCTTAGGAAAGATGGTTCATTTCTACTGTCAATCATTGGCAACTGATGTGCACTTTCTAGACTGCATGTGGTATTATCATAACCAATATGTGCATGATGTAGTTTCTCCACACATAGATTACTTATGTGGCAATACAATATTTCCATAGGCCATAGCAAAAGAGAGAATGAAATAGGCTTTGATAATCTTATCAAGATTCATTAAGAAACAACCACCAAGGCATGAAATCAGTTATACTCTAAATGAGACGTTATAACTTGGCTTTGTTCATTCATTGACCTACAATTAGATTGGCACAAGACACTTCAAGATAAATGGAAACTCCTCCTGGTAATTAAGATCTAAATAAAATGATGCATGGAAGTACAAAACTTGAATTGTTTGCTACATGAGAACCCATTCATGCTTATTGAATAACCCAGAGGATGCTGCAACAAATTACAGGCTACATATGGGCATGGATGAAGGTGAAGAGTGTCCTTTTTTCTATGAGATGAAAGTGTCATGCGCGGAACATAATAACGCTCATCAATCATAGGACTTGAATGAACAACAATTGATACTCTTATTATTCACAGAGTGCAAGTTGTACAAGTTAATTTTTGGGTAACTCCACTTTTTTCTCTAATGAGGCAAGTCCACTCAGACCCACCCAAATCACTTCAGCATAGTACCCAGTACAGGCCAGAACCATCTTCCACACCCCCCTACCATCCCCACCAAAAGAAAAAAAAAACTCACGACAGGGGCTAGTACACACTTGCTCGCCCGAGGTACCATAGTAACCCAGGCAAGTCATCAGAGACTACACTACTTTCTCACAGGATCCCCGAGCCTGTCAAGATTAACCGAGTCCAACAAAATTTTCAATGTAAAATGGGGGCGGGAAACCAAACCCCCTTTTTGCTAACTTCTACGCTGACCAATTATCATATTGAACTCAGGTTCAATGTTTAGAGTCATTATTGCATGATCTATGAATTGAATAGATCAAATTCAAGATAAATAAATAAATTTCTTGGATTTGAGAGATTGAAATTTTCAAATTAGGATTTGTCTGAAGGTCGAAAACTTATGATTTCTTCACAGCCGTACTCTTCACAACCGTACCTTGAATCTTGGTTGAAATCTGTTACCTAAGCCTATTTTGGAGTTCTTTTTTGAATCATTCGATTATTTATCACCAAAAAAATACTCAAAATCTTGGATTTGTGAGATTTTGAAATCAAAACACTAGTTTCCAAAAAACTTTATCCTTTTTTTATAATGAAATACTATGTAAGTCAATCATATCAACCTTTATCACTTTCCATTTTGTATATATGTCCTATGATTTTTTTCTTTTTCTTTTTCTTTTTTTAATTCTTTCTGGTTTTTCCAAAAAATTTGGGATCTTATGGCAACTCTCCCATTTCAGTCTAAGAAGGGTGAGGACCTTAAACTTTCCTTTAACCCATCTCAAGCCCAGGTAAAAGAGGTGAGTTGTGTTAGATAGGTAGCCAACGTAAAACTTTGCCAAAACATTCTACGAATCCTGAATTTACTTATCTTCTTATGCTAGGGTGTTCCCCATAAGAAATGCGTTGAAAAAAGACATGTGGACTTACGGCCTCATTGAGGGTATAATCCTTTAATGGTGAACCAGGATTCATGTAGCCGACCCCAAATAATTGGAAACGGCTATGACGATGATGATGGCAACTGTCCCATTCCTAACAGTTACATTCTTGCTATAAGCGATTTTCTTGTCTTCTAAATAGACCACTAAATATCCCTTACAAAAATATATTTTCTCAGTCTATTTTGAGAAATCGGAACATTAAGTTTTGCTTTCCTCTGTATTCACATTCACAAGGCACAAAACAAACAATATATAAATAAATAAATACGGTAAGAGAACACTCAAGAAGCCTGTAGTGTATGGCGTAAAAACAAGATGATGCACCAACTTGATACTTTGGCATTATAAATCACAAATCACAAAGAAGAGATTCCGATTTTGGTTCCTTGTATTTTTTAGGGAAGATTGAATTAAGTAGCTAAAAAGTTTCAAATCACATTCACCGAACATATGACATTGATAGACTATCATCATCATTCGAGCCTTATCCCAATTACATAGATAACACAAATCTATAATATATCATTTACCCTAAGCAATTGTACCAGTCCCAATGTTTTGCTCCCTTCTGTTAAGTGCAGTGCCACAGTTTGCACCTCAGTCACTAGTTCCAACAAATTTTTAGTCTTGTTGTTGTCAACTTTCTTATTGCTAGCTAGACCTCTATATATCTTTTTTTTCTTTTTTCGAAAATATATCCTTTGGAATAATATAGTTTCTTAGTTAATTATGAAAATCAAGTTCAGTTTAGGAATACCTTGGTACCGGCTGGCATGTCACTCAAATCATAGTTACAGAAAAAGGTGTGGAGAGGAGTCATTTCTGGATTGCTAAGGACCTGCAAATATCATTAAAGCATGTCAAAAATGTCATCATGGCAATTAGATGAGGTATAAGGTCAAGCATCATATTCACCTCATCCATTAGGTTGAAAAGGGAATCCCCAACTTATCTTGAAACGAAAAAGAAAAAAGCAAAAAGTTGTCTCTATGATATTCCTTACATGGTCCAAGTTGAACCTCAAGTGGATGTTAGTGGTAAGTTGCAGAACCAAGATTTGATGCAACTACATAAATACATCGCACTCAAATAAAATCTCAAAAAATGATCACGTGTAATGTTTTCGTAGACCATAAAACCAATATGTAACTGAATTTGCCTACATGTACAAATGAAAAAAAATTCAAGTCACAGTCCCAAAGAAACCACAATTTTTTATGTGAATATACATAGAAGGAATGTCATGATTAAAGCATTGTTTTAAAATGCAGCTGCATCACCGTGTTATGTGTATGCGCCAGGAGGCGCATCACAAAACAGCGCATATGTGCTTTAGTAAGATGCACCCGCATATGCCGCAGCCCACCGCATATGCCCCGCATCAGCGTGAGGAAAAAAAATCCAAATAAGGGGGTATTTAGTTAATTCTCCCCCTAAAAAGGAAGAGGGGGGGCAGGGGGGGGGGGGGATGAAACCCCCCAAAACAGTAACAACAGCCATTTTCGTGGCTTTTCCTTCATCAAATCGATTAAAAAAATTAATGGTAGAAATCTTTTGATATTGAACTAGCTGCAGGGGCTAATGAAGAAGTACGACCTAACACTAGAACATAAAACAGTAAAAGCTCAGTTCAGTCGCATGTTAGTTCTAGAGGTCGAGGAGGAGGAAACCAAGGAAGAAGAAGAATATGTAGAGGCCACCGAGGATGATATTGATGATGATGATCCACATCAATGTTTCAAAAAACACTAGGCAGCCCTTAGGTGGCTGGCTTGGCACCCAGGCAAACGCGCAGAACCTCAGGCGCCCTGTGGTACAAAATTTTTAGATATATACATATATGTGCTGTCCAAACGCACATATATGCTATATGTGTCAACTTTGTAATTTATTGCATTTGAAAATATTGTAACACACTTTTTTATATACAACCATATGACATATCACATCTTGAGAATAAACTTGTTCAAATTTTCAAAATTCAAACCATACAAAATTTAAAAAAATTTAAAAGGCTAATAGGCTATGTCTTAATAATAGTCTCCAACTCTCCATAATCCATAATAACATGGACTCCAAGTCTCCAACTCTTCAACATACTTACAAAAGTATAAAACCAAATAACAAAATATAGTCCAAAAAGGCAGAAAGTCCAACATCCAAATGTCTAAGAGATTGAGGGCCCAAGGAAGTGTTCTTTTAACTTTAGGGGGGTGAAAATAACCCACATAACCTAGTTAAACCTTTGAGGACGTTAAAATTACCACTTTGCCCTTTTGGGCATCTTTAAAAATCGAAAAAAAGCCACGTTCCTGAGCACCCGCCTAGGTGCCCGCCTGGCCCCACCTAAGAGCCCGCCCAGAATAGGGTGCCCAGGTCTAGGCATGCAGTCAGAGGTGTCTTGGGCACCTAGGCGCCGGGCGAACCTTTTTTGAAACCTTGATGCACATGGAGAGTCTCTAGATAACTTGCCTAATAAATATTTGAGATTTAGACTTGAGAACTTGAGAAATGATGATGATTTGTCTTGACTTTAAACTCTTTTTTTGTTTTTTAAAAAGTACTTTTAAACTCTTCAATCTTCATATAAATTTTAGTTTGTAACTTTAAAGTTTGCAATTGCAATATGCTTTTTTAATGTTTATGAATTATGATAATATGATGTCTTCTAAGTTCTATTGTTTTCTATAAAGTTAGTTTTAAGTTTCTCGTTTCTACTTTCTAACGTCTTCTATGATCTATCAGGGGATAGTCGGTACAGAATCTCTGACAACTGATACTTTTGGAGTTAATAAATAAACTAAATACCTACTATCACATAAATCATCTCCATATGTTTTTTCTATACATTAAACTATTTTTTGAGATGTTTAGAATTTTTTATATTTATTGATCGCATCGGGATGATGCACCCACATCGAGCCGCATCGCCCCGCCCCCCGATCGCATTCCGCACTTTAAAACACTGGATTAAAGTACCAAATGCAATGGACATGAAAGGAGCCCATTGGCCCTTGTGAGCTTCATTATTCCACTCAGTTCACATATGCATGTGTCTCATATTCTGTGAGGATTTTTGTTTTTTTTTGGGAAACTGGTTACATTAATATTCTGTGAGAATGTTTGTTGTCAATTACAGAATTCATCAGCATTTGGACACCAAAGTTAGCGAAAGCATTGGCACTGAAGTCAGCCACTGATATAACTTGGTCAGAGACCCGCACTAGTAAGCTACCCCAAGATTCTGTTATATGTTTGTTCTCATCTAAAAATACATGGTCTACCTATACTTCTTCATGGTCAGGAATATAACAAAGTAAGAACATTACTCGAGTTTGAACGTAAAAGGCCCTTTGGCCTTATTTCATGATTAATGGGATGCAGCATGCATGATCTAACATAAGTATAATAACACCATGGGTAATAGACAGAAAGCACACAATACATCTAACTCAACATAGATACCACAGACAACATGGATAAGTCATTAGGACCTAGGAAATGCAACCAATCAAAAAATGAAAAAATAAATGAATAAATGCTAGACATTGGGTCTAGATTCTTAATATGGACATGGACAATGAGACTTCCAGTTGTACACATCAATTGTACAGCATTGGTTTAAATACACAAATTGAAACCTAAGCAAAAGAATAAATCAAATACAAAAGTGCGACATAAGGCTCCCAGATTCATGACACATAATCAAAAGATGACAAATTATTGCGATATGCAATTTCAAGTGCCATAAAGAAGCATGGTATCAAATGTGCACACTGACTGGCTGTAGTTTCAACTTTCTGAATTACAAGAGAACATATCTAAATGGACAAGCTATAAAAATAATTAAATAAGTCATTGGGCCTACATATAAACCTAATTTTATACTGTTGGTACTTGGTGCAAATCTAAAAAGTGATTTAGGTTATGTGAGATCACTCCCAAATGATCTCTAAAATAAATGTGAAGGAATCATCTACCACATTTTATACAAAGAAGCAATGTTGATCTTCTACCAGAAATCAAATGAGCTTCTAAAAGCTCCATACTATCATGTACTGGAAGAACACAGAAGTTTTCTGATACAAACCATAACAAAGGAGGAGTTTTGAAAGGTTAAGATTCAGTATACTTAGGTGCCTTTTCTCTAATGCCAAAATCCATAATCAAAGTACCTAAGTCAGTTTGTATTTTGGTGTCGCACCATATTACTGCCACCACCAAATCATACCTCACAAGTGGAAAATGCACAAGACACTATAAAGATTCAAATCTGGGCATTCTTTTCAGATCAAAAGAGCCAAGAAGATAAATGATCCAATGGTCAACGGATTGTTTCCAAGTGAGGAATATTTGGTTCAAGAACACGAAGTTCTTCACCAGTAACTGCCAGAAGACTCAGCTGTCAGTACTAACCCAGAGTAGGACAAAGTAAAAAAACTGCCCAAAAGCTCAAAACTAAAGTTTGTTGACATTTACTTCATGTTAACGACCACTATATCGCTAATCAAAAACAAAAGCGGATTCTTGGTGGAAAATTAGGGGTGCAATTGCAAGAGTCCCTTCACATAAGAGGTTTCTTTCTACGGCATCAGTGCACCATTGCCCCTCTCAATCAAACATCAAGATACCCTACCTTCCCATAGTTAATTGAGTCTGACCCATTATCATGGATCTAAAAACCAGTAGATCCCTTATATATTGAATGAAAACAATGCTTCAAAAATCCGTTTTAGAAACAAAAATTTCAATAGAAGTCAAAGCTAAAGGAGATAATATCTTTGGCGGCAGCACACAAGTTGGGATTATTACAATGTACCTTGTTACCTTGTTTTATAACAATCTAAAGAAATAACTACCATAGTCGGTCCTTGGAGGCACAGGATGGGTGTTAACCTAAGAGCAATAGTTTGTTTCCTAATATCTCCAGATATGGTGTACACCAAGAAAAGGTATGACAATGCAAGTAATCAATGACTCAGGCAAAGAAAAGGCATGATATTGAAAGCAACTAGCCAAAAAGACAGGCAAATACTTACATAGACAACGACACAGGTTCATGGATCAGTTACTGGTATACTGGCAATCCAATCTCCAAGAAACATTATTTGTAGTTTTCCTTAGTCAATATCCAATTCAAATCCAGCATTTCCTATAGGTGTTGGGTGTCTGTGATGCTTTGGAGGCTGAAGCATATGCATTAGGCCCGCTGTTTCTTTTCTGGTATGCTGGACGTCACAGGTGACACATCTAATGTCATTAGATGGGCAAGCCAAGCGGCTATATTCATAGAGGTATCATAGTTGTGCCTATCTCACTCCGTTACCTTCTGGCATGCTCTCCAAGATGTAAACAATATTGTGAACACTCTAGCAAGAGGAATTATGATCCTCACCTTGTATAAGCAACTCCTTTCTGCTTATTCGGCTTTATGTTATTATGTATGTTAGCTATTAATATAGCATCAACAATGTTCTCTAAAACTGTTTTATGACTAATGAATGAATGCTGTTGGCAATCCACAAGGAATTCCAATTCCAAGTAGAATGATGTGTATTTGTTAATATGGTTCCAGCCACCTCTTCTTTGTTAAAACTATGACCTGCAATCTTTTCTCTTTTTTTTAATTCTTTTTTAGGTAAGTAAAAGGTGCATTAATATAATAAATTATTTACAAAGTAAAACAGACATGATAGAGGCAGTAAATCTACAAAAAGAAAAGAACAAATCCAGATCAACATGGAAATGTTTGAAGAAAAATGAGTTGATGACATGATCTATGATTTATATGTAATTGATAAAAGAAATTGTGATTTACATGATAATGAAGTTGTACTACTCATCAGGATTGCTTAAGTGATGATAAAGGTTTGACAAGAACCTCATGCCAATGAAAAGCAAGGAAAACAAAATTTGAAAGACATGCAAACTTTGGCAACATATATAGATGATAGTGTGCCCCAGGTTAGAAGATATCCTGATCATGATTCAGAAGTTCTCTTTGTTTTCCCTTGACAAGATGGAGAAATACTCTAGAAAGTAGAAAAGCATGTCTCCAATGGACTCCAATTTTGTCAAGTGTTAACTAATAACAAGAAGAGGGGATTCACTAAGAAAAAACACCTATTTAGAATGAGATGAAAAAATAACCTCAAAATGGGTTAGAAGAGTTTTAAGAAGGGAAATACCAATCCTGTCAGAAAAACATGCCAAATTAATTGAACAATCTGCTCCATATGTTGCAAATATCCTTAAGAACAAGCTAATGGCCTAACTCTCTTCATGGTCTCTCATATTTAGAGCTTAAGAAACCCAGTACCAGCTGTATTCGCCCTTTCATGGGAATTCGCAAATGACTCTTGTTTGATCTAGAATCTTCATTGCTAAGACTTCTCTTCAGCTTTGGGCCTCTACAGTTGTTTGCTGAAAGATTCCCTGCAAGGTCTATCGATGCATAATATAACAAGTAGCTGTCACCATCCACGCTAGTCACTGAAAATGGAAGCTTCTGAGATGGGGGAGAAAAGCTCCCTCCAGTTACATTCAGAATCGCAAGAAACCCATCTATTCTCTGCATATATGAACAAATCAGCATGAAAAGGATGAGAAGAATAACATAGTACGCCAAAAGGAGAAGTATAGCATAAACATGTGGACAATGGGAAAATCATAACCATTAGGTGCCCAACATCCATTATTCCAATGGACAGTGATGGCAACCAACAGAACATGACATGAACGTCACCGTCGCTCCCTCCCTCCCTCCCCAATGGCCAATGACTTACCATAATTCATAGGACTATAGTATACTGTTTGCATATCTGAAATAAGCAGTATATATCATGCAGATGACAAGAATAATAGATGGAAATGATTTTCTGAGAAATAAAGACTAACCTGACGAGCTTTACTGGAAGAGAATCGACCAGACAAGAGAGATTCCTCGAAGGAACCAACCAAAGACCTCCGAACAGGAAGCACACTGAAACTCCTACCCAATTTTCCACATGTTTGAGGTGAAGACTCAGATTCATGGCCCCAATGCCTGCTAACCCGAGCACAATTTTCAGGAGTAGGACATGAATCCTTCTGCAATATGCCAAATTCCTGAAATGATTTTCTTGTAACCCCAAACTCATCATCAGGGATAAATAAACTGTCCAAGAGCCTTCCATCGACTGAACCATCAAGGCTCTTTGACGTTAGATAATCATCCTCTATTACATCAGCAACATCTTTATAAACCTGGCCTGCAATTTTCAGTCTCTCAGACCATTTAGGACCAAGAGGAGATAGAGAGAGAGGAGGCGAGGCAGCCTGGCTGCAAGATATAGCCATTGCCCCATTCCTTGAACTTACCTTGATTTCCTCCTGATAATTAGAGATTGTGACACTCTTAGTTTCAAGCAAAGGACCATCAGTGAAGAGAAGTGAGGATCTACTTGTATTGTTATCGCATGTGAGGTTCCATTTGTGATCTCTAAGTGTTGACCAAAGTGGGGTGTTGGGATGGTTAACTCCATTGCTAAGATTGGCCTTCTTACAATCCTGGCTCAAGCTACTGATGAACTTCCTATCAGGTGTTTTTAATGTTTCCGCTCCAATAATGTCTAACTTATCACCCTCAAAAGTATCCGGACTTGATAACATAGCATTGAGAGGGGACAACATTCGTTTCCTGACTTGTGAACCAAATAAATTGGATAAATTATCTGAGTTCCCATTTGCCGAAGAGCAATTTGTTTTATTGAGGAAGCTTCTGTCTGATCCCCTATTGTCAAAACCCACGATTCTTGAAGCGGGCAATTGGATACTTTGCTTCCCTTTAAGTCCCACTTTCCTCCCAACCATGTGGGGAGCACCAATAAAAGAGCTCTTGGATACAGCAAACCCGTCTGTTCCTTTTGGTAATTCTAAAGTGGGTTTTCTTGGAAAGTCTCCAAATGAAGAGCAGGGAAAACCTTGACTTTGCCCAAATAACCCCACCATCCTATCATCATTATGTCTTTGATTCAATCCATCCAAATCGCAGGTACTTATACCTCCATACTGTGATGGTATCACAACTTCATCAGATTTTTCATCAGAACATGCTCTAGGCAAGCCCATCTTTTAGAAACTCCCTTACGCTAATTTCTTTCCTTATGTATAATATGCTTATGGGAGTGAGATGATCAATATAAATCTTAAATCAGTATATTGGGACTATTATGATTGTCACATTGCATATTACCAAATAAATGATGCCATAAAGCAGGAAACTTTCTCACCCCAATCCCATTTCAAGTAAATAAAAAGATAGAATTACTTAAGATCTGAGACTAACTAATGCAAAACGAATAAAGCTTAACAAGACAAATGCAAGTAAACCATCGAAGAAATTCCTCAAATGATCAGGCCTGATCAATAATTAAACATTATTTGGGTACCATCACGACATGGGAATGCTTCCATTCACTCTATCCCTTAATCGCCCAGGTGTGAAACCTCTCATGGCCAAGGAAAAACCAAACATTGACACAAGACTTCCAGAGGAAAGCTTCTTATTGGCAAACCAGGAAGAGGGGAGGCACGAATGCTGCATATTAGGCTAAAGATCCTTCTTCAGTGGCTTGATTTCAGTTCTGTTTAGAAGGGCCAATCAACAAAAATTAATCAACCATGAAAGAGATCCAGAAGAGCAATTCTAAGAAAAATATATATATAAATTCTATCCCAAAGCTTACATCAGTCAACTGCAAAACTTGTATAGATAAACAAATGATGGAAAAAAAAATTAAAATTGAGAAAAACCCAAAAAAGCTTCCCCCACAACCCACCCCCCACCCCCCCCCTTCCCAAAATAATATATATTGTCCCTACAGAATCAAAATGGATTTTAACTTTGAACATATGTCTTATTTAAGAACGCCAATCACATTTTTTTATCAACATAAAAAGGGGTGGCCGGGGCCATTCATGAAGTAAATAAACCAACCAGCTTCATATGCAAAATGCTTATACAGAAATGCAACTAAATTATTCACATGCCGACAGATTATTGAAATTCAAAATAAATAGGTAAAAAAGTATATCAATTGAAATTTAGAAAAACCCATCGCATAAAGACAGACAATTAACAGAAGATTTAAAGGCATGCTTTTGACCAGATTGCATAAGGTTTACCAAAACTGAACAAGAGAATCAAATCAATTATAGAGCGCCCAACAAGGTCATTGGATCAATGAGCACAACGATCGCCAAAACAACCACTGTGAAATAAAATTTCAAAAAAAAAAGGCACATTTTTAAACCAAAAGTGCCAAACCAAACGAAAAAGGAAAACGCTTTCTTCTAACGCACACATTCATTGATTTCCAACTAATCATCCCATTTCCTTACCAACCATGGAAACCAAGCAACCTCACGACAAGAGTTACACAAAATGAAACAAAAAAAATCTCAAAAAATGTAAGATACAAGGCAAAAATGAACCAAAATTAATTAGCTATTTGAATATGACCCCTGAAATTTCTGATAAAAGATATGAAAAATACCAGAAACAGATCGGAAAATGCTTCACCAGAGGATCAACCATGAACGTTATGGCGATCAACAGGCGCTAATAAGCCCTAATACCCTCTTCTTGTTCTTCTTCTCCTTCAAAGAAGAGGATAATGGCTATATATTCCCTTACAGTCAATTTTTTATATGTACCCTTATTTTATTTTATATATTTCTGCCCGCTTTTTAATCACGCCCGTAATCGCCTAACATGCCAGTTGCTGGTTTGAGAGAGAGAGTCATGCACCCGTTCTAAATTAGAGAGAGAGATTCACGCACCCGGTTTGAATTACAGACAGAGACAGAGAGTCCTATGCATTCGGTTTGGAGAGAGACTTTTGCACTCGGTTTAAACGTAAAAAGGAAAAAAAACAGGAAAACGGGTATTTCAGAAACCACTGCGAATCGACTAGAGTGAACTGGCTTTTTTCCTATGGGAAAAGCTGCAAATATGTGCCACTCGTCTTTCATGAATTTACAATAATACCCCAAAGGAAGTGTTCGATGAATCGTCTTACGGAAAAAGTTTATATAAAGATGCTGGAAAAAGTTTATATAAAGATGCTAGAACTACGGATGCTCTCTCAAAAATCCATTGGAAAAGGTAGTTTTAATATTGAAAAGACCTTTTGATTGATCATCAAAACATCTCGATGTATGACTATGAAAAATAAAAAGATTTTAAATCTCAAAAATGGTATATTTTACAACATATTACCTACACCGTCCATTTTCATATATTTATAAATCTACTTGATTTTAATCATTTTTAAAATTTAAAATTTTATAATTTAATATAAAAATTGATTTTGAAATAATCCTAAAAATATTTTACATCAAAATTATATACCATCATAATATTTGAAAGTGCACCTTACCTCTAAACTGCATCCGAATGTCAACTGCACCCTTTCTTTATTTAACACTATATTTCGTTAAGGAGTTATGTTTGGGGGCTCTCACTCTATAGTATTTTATAATGGACCCGGTTTCTATGTGGCCAAGCTTACCAAACTAGCATATATATAAATGTGGGCTCCATAATAAATCTATTTTAGAGATAGATTTTAGGATTTGATTTTTAAGGGTATGTAATCTCTAACATGGAGATCATGAACATGAAAAAATAAATACCTTTATAAAAGCTAAAAATAATAATTTTAGTAAACAAATATTTGAAACGTTAGTTTCTATTGTTTTTAGATGGAACACCTTAGTTTCTATTGTTTTTAGATGGAACACCTACTTGCATCTATCTTTAAGATAGATACTTAACACTTTCTGGACCGTATATTCAGAAATGAGGTGCCACCCGTATGAAACAATTTTCCTTTCATTAATACCCTTCATATTTTACTCTCGTTTGAATTGAAATTTGAGAGTGTTTTAGAAGCTACATGACCGATTAATTATTGGCCCCCCTCTCAGGATGCGTTGGATAGGCTTCAATGTTAATCTCCCTTGACCTAATTCACCTTTCTCTATTAACGGTTATGTCAAATAAATAGGTGAGTTTGGCTATGGATCAAAATCCCTCAGATCACCTAGCCAACACTTTCTTTTTTTTTAATTTTTATTTTTAAATTTAAATTATAATATAATTTTTTAAAAAAGAGAGATGGGATTTATGCTGGGTCGATGTTGAAGAAAGAGCAAAAAGACACAACAAATCACGAAAGAAAAAAAAAGAAAAAAGAAAACGGGATTTACGTAGAGAGTGTTGAGTTTGACAACTTTGAATCATCACTCTTTAGCAATGTTTTAAAACTTGTCGATTACTAATCCAGATTGTCGATTTAAATGGCAATTAGTCCAAACCGAATCGGCTCCATAATGATATCGATCCCAACATGGTTCCTGTAAAATCCCATTAGATATAATTTTTTTTTTTTTAAGCTTATTAATATTTTATTATATCTTCTATACATCCTAACCTTATAAATCATATTTAAATTTTCTTTATTTTAAATTTTTTTAGATCACCGATTTAGACTCAATCAGAATGACAACCTAACCATCCGTCATGAGTCGTGGACGAACGGTCAGCCCCGCTTACACGGGTTTTGAAACGCTAATCTCTATTGTTCTCAAAAAAAATAAAAAATAATAAAAAATAATAGTAAATCTCACTCCCCCGATGGCAAGGCTGTAAATTCCCTCATTACCAGTGGCGTTTTCATAAAATAAAATGACCTCCACTTTGTTTACCCTTTTTTCGATATTTGTAAATATGTTTTCCATCGATAAAGAGTAGGGCCGCCAGTTCCTCGTTCGCCTGCCACAAGAAGGAAGCCGACAGCGCAATTTCCGCCCGACACGTGTCACGTGTCCCCACCCTCTTCGCCGCTGGCGATAGGAATAGAATAGCGTGCGGTCTCTTCAGACGCCTACTATCACATGCAATCAAATCGCCACTGTATGCACGTGTCGCGTACAAGGAGCCACACGATACGTCGCGTCATCACTATTTGGTGCAGAGATCGGTTGCTGATTGTCCGTTTCCATAATGGACGGTTTCGAGAAGAAGAGAAGGCAGACGGTTCACGTGTACGATGCACGCGATGTGTATAGCATTACAACTCGTTGCGTACGCTTTTCCGCCGCTCTTCGAGAGAGCCCAGGGCGTGGCCCCACGGTCGGGCCCTGTTGTGGGGCCCACCACCCATACCATCGGTTGTACTGTTTGTGTTTTTTTTCTCGACTTCTCATTCATTGAAAGGTTGGGTATTCCACTATTTTCTCTTTCCACCTAACCAAAAACAAATTAAAAAATAATAATAAATAAAAACCAAACTTTTCTCGAAGTAATGAGAGAAGGGCAGGCTTGCTATCCTTCCCCTGCTATATAAAATGGACCCGACTTTTATGCCGCCAAACCCACATATGCAGTAATGCAGGTCTCTCAATAAGTGTATTTTTTATATGAATTTTAAGATTTAATTTTGAATAATCTCCAACATGGAGATCATAAATATGAATAAATAAATAAACTTTAAAAACTAAAAATAATAATTCTAGTAAGAAAATATTTGAACGGTTAGTTTTCATTGTTTTTAGATGAAACACCTACTTATACCCAACTTTAAGACGAATGCTTTACACTTTCTGGACCACATATGTAGAAATACGGTCTAACCCGCATGAAACAATTTTTTATATAAAATTTATATACTTCTCCTATCTAGCCGTCCATTTTGCATGGACGGTTGAGATGGCTTCAATCACAATGTCACATCTCTATACTATTTCATTTTTAATTTTTTACAAAATATTTCGACATCGAATTTTGGACTCCACTCCTCTCTTAAACTAGCACCTGTCAAAAATATAAAAAAAATTTCAATAAAATAAAATGATCAAAATACCCCTAAAAGTTTTAAGGGGTATTTTGGTTATTATATTTTATCAAAAAATTCTTTTTAGCATTTTTTTTAAGTGCGCCATATTGAGATGATGGCACATATCAAATTTCATATTTGTATAATTTTTTTAAAAAAATTACCGAGCATTGGATCTAGATCAAATAGTCAATAGCTCACTTGAACTAAATTGAATGGCTGAATGGGGTGAAGTACGTATCTTCTATGCAATAGGAAAAATATAGACATATTTTCCTCCCTCATGGGAGAAAGATGGAAGATAAATTTATGTGTATATCCCTTTAATTATACTCTCTTTTCTTTAAAATTTGAATATTGTATTCTTACTCACTATTTTCCTATTAAATGAAGTTTCTATAAGGTCTAGGCTTTTAATAAAACAAAAATAAAGCCTCATCTCAAATCCTCATCCAGAAAGCACTTTTAGCAACATCAATCTTCATGATGGATCTAAAATCAAATTCCAAACAAATAATTTTGAAACTCGAAAAATGTACAAATCTTGAGGATCTATGAACACTTGTTTTTTGGATAAAATGGATAGTCTACATAATTTGTTACAATATACATTATTTTTAGAGCTTAAAATCCTAAATGTTTTTCACAACCATAATATTCAAGCATAGATGATCGATGTAAAGGTTTTCCAATACTTGACTTGTAATTTTGGATGAGTTATGAGATGAGGTTTTACTTATTTTGATAGAGTTGCAGGCCTATCAAATCACTTTCCTTATTTATTTATTGTTTTTCGAATTCAAAGTTCTCTTCTCCATAGCATGTGGGAAGCTTACATACTTGTCGTATGCACAAAGAATTTCAAATTTTCAAAATAAAAATTCTTTTTATAAGTTCTCTCTGGCCTCCAGGAAGCCTCTACCGTAGAGAATTTTGGAACTTTAAGATTTAAAAAACTTTTATTGCCTTAGTTGAGGTCCAACTTTTTTGTAGGTACATTTTGGTTATGCAAGATAGAGTTGACACCTTGTATAAGCTGCTTCATTTATCTAAGAATGCGGTTTGTATAAAGTTGAGGATCTAAACAATCATAGTAAAACACACATTCAAATAGTGTCGAACAATACGGTTTCAATATTGAAAATATTTGTAATAACCTTAAAATATATTTTCATCTCTAGTTATAAAATTTAAAGCTTTTAAAAATAGCGTAGATCGAGTCGATCTATGAAAGCATGAAAATCTTAAAAAATTGATAGTAAAAAATGCATTACAAGATGCACTATTTCTAAAATTTGAAATCTACTTTTTCCTCGTATCCATGCATTTTGAAGTCGAGATGATCATGCATTTTGAGGTCGAGATGATCAATTCGATGATATTTGAGCATCAAAATTACCTCTTCTAATGAAACTTTTGATGTGTACCATAATTTGATTGTTTAGAGCCTTGCATTTATATTATTTTTCAATACTTTCTTTTTTTCGAATTTTTCAATACTTTTTTTTATTTTTTTGGTTAATGCAGTGGGGAAGACAGACCCCTACCTATTTTTTCAATAGATTAGACAGTTACATTTTGACGGTGTTAATTAGAGGTAGGAATGGATAGGATGATGTGGTAACCACCATGACCCAGCGCCTTTCCTAAACTTTATGCTTTTAACTGATGAATCTCTCACCCAATGCGGTGGCCTCGCATTTATCTTTTTCTAGCCCGGCATCTTCCTGAACTCTCTTTCTCTCTCATTTATTTATATTTAATATTGTATCTTCCCGAACTATCACTCGCTCTGTCTCTCTCTTATAGTGTATAGGAACAGCAAGCAATACATTCCCTTTTTATTAGTTGTGTAAATACCATTACCTTTTATAAATGAAAAACTTCAAATGTCGTAATGATGTTCATCTTTTGCCTTTGATATTCAAGTACTCT